TCTGTATTTATGTTTGTATTTGTGTTTTTGTATGTATTTTTGTGTTTTGTGTATTTGTATTTATGTGTGTTTGTGTGCATTTATGTGTGTTTGTGTGTATTTATGTGTTTGTATGTATTTTTGTGTGTTTGTGTATATTTGTATGTATTTACAAAGGTATGTGTGTTTCTCTGTATTTATGTTTGTATTTGTGTTTTTGTATGTATTTTTGTGTTTTGTGTATTTGTATTTATGTGTGTTTGTGTGCATTTATGTGTGTTTGTGTATTTATGTGTATGTAAGTGTATTTGTGTTTGTGTGTCTTTATGTGCATGTATGTGTATTTGTGTTTGTTTTTGTGTGTATTTATGTGTGTTTGTGTGTGTATTTGTATGTATTTATGTGATTTGTGTATTTGTATTTATGCGTGTTTGTGTGTATTTGTGTGTGTACAGAGGAATGCTTCAGGAGAAACAGGTTTAAACTTCATTTAGAAAATCTTCAGTTTCTCAGCTCTACACACACAGGTCACATGTCATCATGTGTTCATGTGTGTGTGTGTTCATGTGTTCATGTGTGTGTGTGTTCATGTGTGTTCATGTGTTCACGTGTTCATGTGTGTGTGTGTTCATGTGTGTGCTGGCAGCTTGTTTACCTGTAGGATCAACAATAATAAACAACGTTCATCTCAAACTAAACAGAAGCTAAAATATTTGACACAAACTGTTTTTAGAAGAAAGTCTTGATCTCGATCAGATCAACGTCCAACTGAAGGGAAGAAGAAGAAGAAGAAGAAGAAGAAGAAGAAGAAGAAGAAGAAGAAGAAGAAGAAGAAGAAGAGCAGCAGCTGAAACTTCAGCATCAACATAAGTCTTTAAATCTCATAGAATGAGTCTCGCTAAACAGTTAGCAACAGGCTAACTAAAAAGCCAAAATAGGAGCTAAATGGTAAAAGTAGTAAAAAGCTAGCTTGAAGCTAAAAGGAYCAAAGGGCTTGTTAAAGTCAAATGTCACAAAAATAACAGAAAACAAGATAAGAACCACCCATAAAGAGTTGTAGCTAAAAGCTAAAAGTGAACATGGAGCTCAGCTGAACACTTGTTGTTGTTAACGAGTCTGCAGCTGGAGCTGAACGAGTGGTGGAGTTAACGAGGCAACATAAAACAGGTGTCATGATTGGTCAATTAGGACCAGGTGTGACTGTGGAGCAGGAAACAAGACTGGATTTAGTTTCTGACTGACGCTCAGTAAACTGTAAACAGGTGCAGTTAGACTGTATTTGTTAGCAAAATATCTCATGAACGTGTGGACCCCAACACACACTTAAAACATTAAAGACTGAAGGTTTTCCTTCAAAGGATTAAACTTTAATTATTTAGTTTTTAATTAATTTATGTTTCTGGATCAAAGAATCAAAACTGTAGTTTTATAATAAAATTATAATTCAATAAATTTACCACTAAAATTAGTTTAAATTATCTACAAAATGATGCAATTAAACACCTGTTTCCTGTTTCTGCTGCCTATAAGACACAGTAGTCCTCCAGGACCAGGACTGGAGACCCCTGGTCTAAAACCTGCAGGGTGGTGGTCCTCCAGGACCAGGACTGGAGACTCCTGGTCTAAAACCTGCAGGATGGTGGTCCTCCAGGACCAGGACTGGAGACCCCTGGTCTAAAACCTGCAGGATGGTGGTTCTCCAGGATAAGGACTGGAGACCCCTGGTCTAAAACCTGCAGGATGGTGGTTCTCCAGGACCAGGACTGGAGACCCCTGGTCTAAAACCTGCAGGGTGATGGTCCTCCAGGACCAGGACTGGAGACCCCTGGTCTAAAACCTGCAGGGTGGTGGTCCTCCAGGACCAGGACTGAGGACCCCTGGTCTAAAACCTGCAGGATGGTGGTCCTCCAGGACCAGGACTGGAGACCCCCGCTATAAGAGAAATAAAGCAGGTTTGTGTCCCACTTGCTAAAATCAACAATCTGATATAAACTCACATAAAACATGAATATTTGAATAATCTACGTCCAACTTTCAAACTTTCCTGCAGCTCCGAGTGGATCAGAACCACCAAAGAACAGAAATAAATCTGATCCCAGCTATTGTTGTTAGCTGAACACACGGGCTCACACGCTCAGAACCAGGCTGAAACAATTTGAATTTAATGGTATTTTCACAAAGTGGCAGCTCGGTTCCCCACGCTGCAGATCTGTGTAATGACCACCTGCACCCCAGAGATGGATGAGAGGACCTAATTGGAGCCACGTGTGGACTCCAGGAATGCTCTAGTCTTCGCTGGTGATGAAAGAAAAGAAAGGAAGTTGAATGTTTCTTTAATAAACATAAAGAATGAAGAGATTAAAGCCAAACATGAAACCTGAAAACCAAACATTTACAAGAAACCCTTTCCCAGTCTGAAGCCCACGTTCACACAGCTCCGTGAAGACGGACCTGAAACTGAAAGATCCATTCTGATCTACAGGTTTAGTTCTGGGAGTAAAACTCCCGTATGATGTGGAGCTCCCAGTTTAAAAAGATCCCATTGTGACAATCTGGTACCAAGATGGACCTGATGGTCCTGAACAGGTTCTGAGTCTAGACCAGTGGTTCCCAAATTTTTCAGCTTTTGACCAAAAAAAGGCATTTTGAATGGAAAAATTGGCATCAGGTCAAACTATAATGTTTGTTACAAAAAAGAACTWAAAAAATGAATAAAAATGTGCATTATGCCAAGCAGACAACACTGACTGATGAGCCCCCACTGCACGCCAAGCCAAACAATGCCACACCAAACCAAACCAAGCCACGTCAAACCACCCCACGCCAAATCTCGCCACGCCAAACCACACTACGCCAAACCAAGCTACGCCAAATCACGACACACCAAACCATGCTACGCCAAATCATGCCACACAATACCATGCTACGCCAAACCACGCCATGCCAAATCAAACCATGCCACACCAAACCACGCTACTCCAAACCATGCCACACGTGCCAGGAGGAAGTGGTGGATGAACATGGAGGAACCAACATCCACACCAACATCTACACCAGTGTCCACTCCTACATCCACACCATCTACACCAACATCTATGCCAACGTCCACTCCTACGTCCACACCAACGTCCACTCCTATGTCCACACCGTCTACACTAACATCTACACCAGTGATGTCCAAAGTCGGTCCTCAATGGCCGGTGTCCTGCATGTTTTAGGTGCTGCCCTGGTTCAACACAGCTGAACCTAAGGAGTGCTTAATTAGTGGGTCTCTGCAGACCTTGATGGCAAACTGAGAAGATAAATCATCTATTTGAATCAGCTGTGTTGAAGCAGGGACAAATCTAAAACTTGCAGGCGACCGGCCCTTGAGGACCGGAGTTGGACATGACTGGTCTACACCAACGTCCACACCAACGTCTATGCCAACGTCCACTCCTACGTCCACATGGTCTACGCCAATGTCCACACCAACGTCCACTCTGTCTAAGCCAACATCTACACCAACGTCTACACCAATGTCTATGCCAACGTCTACACCAACGTCTACACCAATGTCTATGCCAACG